ACCATAAAAGCTGGACTATTATGAGGTTCATTACTAGGTTTAATAAGTTTTTGTTCTAATGATTCTTTTACTTGATTTTTAAATTCTTGTGTATCTTCTATTGTATACATCATTGGTCTTACTCTTATTATAAAATTTTCTGTTAATTCTATTTTGGCTTTTGGGTGATGTGGTTTCCAAAATAATAATGGATTTTCTCCATAAACATTTTCTAATTATTCAATGATTTTTTCTATATTCATTTCTATTCCTATTCTTAGAACCTTTTTACATAATATTCTTTTATTTTTTATTTCATTATTAAGAATTGATTTTTTCTCCCATTTATCACCACGTTGGGCTGGCTCAACTCTATAACGTTTAAATTCTTTAAGAATTTTTAATAAGTGTCCACAAGGTGTTTGTAATATTATCATATAATTATTTTGTTTATAATATTGAAATTGTTGTATGAAATCATTTACTAATAATATATCACATTCTAATTTATCATATTTATAAATTTTATTTATTGTTACTTGTTTACTTACAAGAATTATATTAACTTTATCAGCACTATTAATTATTTTAGTATTTTCTCCTATAACACCAGTTATTTTTATATTACTATTATTATTCCATGATTTTATTAAAAAACTTTTAAATATTGTTATATCACTTCCTATATCTATTAAAACACAAGTTGTTTCTACAATAGTAATTTGTATATACACAGTTAATGATAAATTTATCTGATTATTCATCTAATTCTTTTAACATAATGCAGTTTGTCCATTATGAACAATATATAATCTTTCTCTTTTTATATTATAATCTTCTAATCCGTTTAGAAAACCCATTCCTAAAAATATATGAGAGTTTATATCCATACTTCTATCTATTAAAAGATCTATTCCTCCTATTTTTATGGGTACCTTAAATTCTAAATCTGTTATATGTACCTGTCCATCAAAATTTACATACTTATATGGTCCAATTTTATGAGTTATTAGTCCTTTGTTTCTAATCAAAGTTATATGACATTCACTAGCTCCTGTATCTATTAATATATTTGGTCCATTTATATTTTCTCTTCCATTATAATATTCTCCTTCTATTTTCATGTTTCCAGCATTCCTATACAGTTTTACTTCTTTAATATTGTTAATTTCTTCTAACTGGTTTTTATTAGGTATTTTAAAACTTTTTGATTTTTAATTAATTTTTCATCCTTAAATGTTATGTTATCAGAACATTCTCCTTCGTTTAATTCTATTATTTCAGGTTTATTTTTTGCTATACTAAATTCATATTCTTCTGAAATTAAACTTATTTGTTTATTTGGTTATATTATTTTACTAATATCTTTACATTCGTTATGAATTTCAATATATAGTTTATTGGAATAAATATTTCCATAATTAGAATTAGTAAATGTGTATAAAGCTTTATATTCTATAGTCATAATTTGATCACCTGGTTGCATAATATCATCTCTATGAAACTTGAAATGTAGTCCTAAAACTTCATTAAAATTTTTATCTTTTAATAATACACAATAATTTGGATAACATGTAAACATAATTTTTTGATATGCTAAATTTCCTTCTATTATTCCTAAATGAATATCTTTTAAATTTATTATTCTTCCGTTATGTAAAGTTATAGTTAAGGGTGAATCTGTCCCTTCTCTAAATAGTGATTTAAACATTATTTGTATTCCTACTAAATAAACATATTGAATTTTTTCACTTTATTTTTTACTAATCTTTGTTAATAATTAATCCACTATATTTTTTGTTAAAAGATTTAATTTATGTTATCCATAAGTTGTTCTTACATCTATGATTTTTTTTTATTTTGTGATATTCATTTATTGCTATTCTTTCTCTTTTCCAAATTCTATCAAAGACTTCCTATTTTCCTATTTTTAAGTCTAACGACAATTTTTGCAATTTTCTAAACTTGTTATTATAAAAAATGACTTTTAATCCATATCCTTGTATTTAGGGATGGCAATCGGGCTCGCCGGCTCGGACCGCCCGTGGCTCGGCTCGAGAAAAGCCCGAGTCGGCTCAACTCGGGGCTCGGTAGACCCGAGCCTAAGCTCGGGCCGAGCCCCATTTTGGGGACACGGGCTTTGCCCGAGCCGGCCCGTGAGCTCGCGATCTTTAAAAAAAAAAAAAAAAAAAAGGCAAAACTGCTGCCTTTGAAAGGCAGTAGTCGCTGCCTTCAAGGCAGCAAAACTGTTGCCTTTTAAGGCAGCTGAAAAAAAATGGTGGAGAAAACGAGCCTGCCCGGCTCGGCCCGTAAAAAGCCCGAGCAAAAGCTCGGGCCGAGCCTATTTTTTTTGGCCGAGCTTTTGCTCGGCTCGGCTCGGCTCCAGCCCGCAAAAAAGCTCGGTCACTTTAACCGGGCCGAGCCCGAGCCGAAACTTTAGGCTCGCGAGCCGGCTCGGTCCGACTCGTTTACATCCCTACTTGTATTCCTTCATATTCTTGTATATTTATATTATTACTTTCCATTTCTTCAATCTCTTTATTCAAATCCTAATTCATCATCTTCTGTTTCACTTATATATACTTCTTGGTCATAGTATTCTTCAATATCTGATATTTCACTTAATTCATCTTTTATTTCTAAATATTCTTTTTGTAATATTCTAACTTTCTTTTTATCACTATCAGGGTTTATATGACATATTTCTCCACAATTTCAACATTTACATTGACTTTTTTTTTTATTCTTTTATTGATTATATGGGTTATTTTTTCTTTTGTAATACCTTTTTTTAGGTTTTATATATTTTTTATTAAAATTTTTAAATTTTTTTAAATTTTTTATTCTTATATTTTCTTTTATTAATTCTTTTTTCAGGATTACATCCCCATTGTATAGGAATTTTCATATCTTCACAACATATTTTAGTTAATTTTCTTGATTTTTTCATTAATTGTCTTTGTTGACGTATATATGCAAGTCTTTCAAATAAAAATTTTATCCTTGAACCTAAAGTTCTAAGTATCCCAATATTATCTCTAACACATTTTTCAAATTCTATTTTAAAATATACTTCCCATGAACCTGATAACTTATTATAATACATGTTTTGGTATATTTCTTAATTTTCATTACTATAAAATTGAACATAATAGTAATTTTTAAATTCACAAGTATATTCTTTAATTTTACACATATCACATATTGTTAAGTTTATTAATTTTATTCTAGCATTATCTTTTTCTCTTATTGATTCTTTTCAGCATTTCTTATCCAATTTTCTTCTAGAAATTCATCTGAAATAAATTTCACTAATTTTTCTATACCTTGTCTATCTGATTTGATTATTTATGTTTGTACATTTCTTTTTATTAATATTTTTGTATCATTGTTTATTCATTCCCACCAATTTCTAACATCTCCTTCAAAGGATGCTATTAAGAAATCTATTCTTCTTTCAATATTTTCTCATGTGTCATCTTTGTTATATAAAAAGAATAATATCATCGAATCTGTCCAAGTTAATAAGACTTTTTTAGTATCTATTTTACAATTTAAATCTAGTTTTGTTCCTCTATGATTAATTGGTTTATCATAATTATCATTTAATTCAAATCTATCTTTATATTTATTTTCTTTATATGGTTGTCTATCTCTTACTTTATCATAAAATTGTCTATATGGTTTATAATATATAGGTGCATAGCTTTCATTTGTGTCATGTAATTCTTGTTTAGAGGTTCCTGCTGGATTAAGTCCTCCTCCAGTATTCATTAAAACTTGGTATTCACTTATATCAGTTAAACTTCATTGATCAAAATTTTCTATTAGCAAATCTAATTCTTTACTCATCTTCTTTTTCTTCTACTTTTAATTTTCCTAATGATTTTTTCCTAGATTCTTCTTCCTCTTTTAGTATTTTTGGTAATATATTCTTTCTAAATTCATCATACATACTCCCTGTTTCTATTACTATATTTTCTTTTTCTATATATTTCTTTCCTATTCGAGTCATTTTTTTTATAAGTTTTTTTTATCTATTTTCTTGTCTTTATTCGTATTATTTTCTTTTAATTCTCTAATCTCAAATTTCAATATATTTATATCATTTCTTGTTTCTTTTACTTCATTTCTCAAATCTTGTACATCATTTATTAATAATTTTATTAATGATTTTAATTCTTACATATATTCACTTATTGACATCTTAATTTTTCTCATTTCTAACTCATAAGTTAATTTGCATCTTTTATCTTTTTTTTTATCTATTATTTTTCCAAATCTTCTTTCAGCTATATCAGGATCTACAAATTCTTCTTTTACTATAGTAAAATATTTGCTCTCAAGTCTTAGTATTTCACATTTTAATTTTGTTAATTGTCTATTATTTGGTATTCTCATTCCTTCTGGTATTAACATTATATTTCTTATTTCTTATTGTATTTTATCTATTTTTAAAAGTAATTTATTCAATTTTTTATGTGTATTATTAATTGTACTCATATTTTTCTTTATAATATAAATTATTTTCTTCATCTTCATATATATTAATAATTTTTTCATATGTATAAATATTTTTTATTTTTTCTACTATTAATTTTTCTAACATTTGTTCCTTTATTTCTTTAGGAAATTTTTTAATTATTGTCAAAGTCATTATTTTTAATTTATTATAAATGAGTTTTAAAAATATATAACTACATTTTTCTTCTTCTAAACATCAATAATTATCTATTTTTCTTATTTTAATTTCCATGATCTCTATGACTCTGATATCAATATGGGGAGGGCTACTTGGAGCGAACAAAAATCAATTAAATCAAATAAAAATATTAATCAAATAAATCAAATGAAAATTATCAAATTTCAACCAATATTTAATTTTAGGGACTAAAATAGAAAATTTCTATATTATGATGTCTTGTTATGTAATATCCAAATGAAGAGTATTTTTGATATGTAAATTGTGGATGGGTCATTTTGGAAAAGTAACCCTTTAAAATGGTTGTTTCCATATGTTTCTCAGTCAATTTCGTTCATTACATCTGGTTCGAACTTGAAAGGTGCGAGGAAATACTGGCTGTTGGCCGGTTGACCCGGCCGAATTTCAATCCTTATTTGTCACTTCGATAGGATAGAGTTGCAGCGTCGAATTTAAGCCAACAATCTATGTAGGTAGACCTGATAAGAACACCTCCATCTCTTAGCACATTCCAGCAAGGAAAAACGGCCATGGAACTGATGGGAGATAAAAACGACCTTCCGAAACAAGATCAACAATGGGCCCGACAAGCATGGGCCCACCTATCAAGAGTGCGCCAGCAGTCTCCTTTAATCCAGTGCATAACCAACTTCGTGTCAATGGATTTCGTCGCCAATGTTATGCTCGCCGCCGGCGCATCGCCGGCGATGATTCATTCTATTGAAGAAATCCCGGACTTCACTCCTAAGGCTCACGCGCTTTACATTAACGTTGGAACACTCACACCCGACTGGCTACCGGCAATGAAGCTCGCAATTCAGGTGGCGAATGAAAACAAAAAGCCCTGGGTTCTGGACCCGGTGGCGGCCGGAGCTTCAGGTTTCCGGTTGAAGGCTTGTCTTGAGCTTCTGGGGATGAAGCCTGCTGTTGTCAGGGGTAATGGGTCTGAAATTATTGCTCTTTTCAAGGGGTCTGAGGATTCTGATTCTAAGGTAAATTTCTTAGTTTCTAACTTAGTATTGATTAATGTTTTTGTGGCATTTAAGTTAAAAAGTTTTCAAAATTTGGGTGTCAGCTGGAAATTTTGGATAGAACTCACTCTTAAAATCAATTGTTACGAGCTCTTTGTTAGAACTGATTCTTAGAATTCACTGGTAACTGGCTCGTAAATTTTGGTTGGGTTGAACATGAAGCTTTCATTTCGACTAGTTGTTATGCATATCTTGAATTGATATTTCAAATAATTTCAATTGGTTTAATCTGCCAAAGTTTAATGCATGTATTTGTTTTCCATTCAATTGATACAAGTTCATGTATTGTCAAATCAGTGTGGTGATGAAATAGATAACGCTGATATGCTACGAAATACTCAAAATCCCAATATTTGTTCGGACTTTGCTTACATTTTATCCATACAATTGCCCCCATTTGGCCCCCATTTTTGTAAAGTGAAAATGGATGAAATAGTGTTGTTTTGAAAAATGAGTGGTTGAAAGAAAAAGAAAAGTTTTCGATATACGTGTAATATTATTTTATGGAAGATTGTGTGATTGAAAATAGAAGAGAAATATGTAATGTAATGTAATGTAATGGGGGCCAAACGGGAGCAATAATAAATTTGTATTTGCATTTCTTTGCAGTAGTAATCTTAGACCGTTTGATCTGAGATAAATTTTACCACGTTGCATCATTCATTTCGTAACTTGGAAGTTTGTTGTAATTCCTTAACTTAGATAAACGGTTTCTTGTTTTTCAAAAGAATCCTTTATTTCAGCACAGAACCAAAGGTTGTAATACCTCAGTGCAAAGTGTCACTTGTGAAGGGAAAGCTTTACTTAATAACATAAAACTCATCTATTAAGGGGGAGGGAAAGGCCTCTTAATTCTTATTTGGGTTTTCTTCGGTTGGCCTGTCTCTTAACACTGTTACTCTACTGAAATAGTGAAACCGAATATTCTGTTGAATTTTTTTCTCTGAATCGTGTTAGCATGAATAAGTTGAGTTCACCAGTCAGATCTTGTCATCACTATGATTTTCTGCAAATTGATGATCCTAAAGTCTCCTCTTTTTTTATATTATTTTTTCACAGGACATCTGATTTTCCTGACCCGTCCTTGAAGTCGAAAAATCTGGAGTTGTATTATCACTTCTTGATCAACACATTTGTGTTGATAGACACATTTCCATGGTGGCACTTATGTCATTACTGGCTAATCATAATTTTCCAGTGGTTAAAATGAGACTTGTATTTGGTGCTAGTGAATAAACATCACCTATGTGTTTCATATGCCGTCCCAAGCCCACTAAAGTAGAAGGGTTATAGTAGGTTGACAGCCAACATAAAATTTTGTCAAATATTACATCACGAACCTTAATACACATTTTATTGGACGTCCCTTACTAGTCACGTGTCACATCGATTCCCGGTGTGGTGAAAGTGGTAAGGGTTAGCTAGGTTGTGCTCCATAAGAAACATGGCATTTTTGGCAAAGGAGGTGTCAAAAAATATTGGGCAAGGGTTCTTGTGATCTACTAGATGGAGACGGGCAAAGAGGTAGTCTAAGGATCTACTAGGTGGAGACAGGTAAAGAGGCTAGTCTAAGCCCTAAGGTGAAGCGGAATGCCGAAGAAAGCTTTATGTGGGCTGTCCTATATTTATAGAAATGTGAGGATTTGTTTGTTGGAATGTCTAAGAAAGCTTCATGTGGGATGTCCTAAATTTATAGAAAAGTAAGGATTTGTTTGTTGGAATGCCGAAGAATGCTTCATGTGAGATGCCCTAAATTTATAGAAAAATAGGGATTTGTTTGCTGCTATTGTTCTTTTCTTATAAAGAAAGTGAAGCACAGTATCTCATTTCATTTTTCCTTTTCCTATTCCTTTTGCAGGGAGTAGACAGCATGCATGAATCAACAGATGCTGTTGAAGCAGCAAAATCCCTGGCTCAAGTAAGTGGAAGTATAGTTTCTGTATCTGGAGCTGTTGATATTGTTACAGACGGTCAACGGGTCGTCGGTGCCAAAAACGGGATTTCTATGTTGCAAAAGATTACAGCAACGGGATGCTCTGTCACTGCCCTAATTGCTGCATTTGTAGCAATCGATCCATCACGAGCATTTGAAGCCACTGCGTCTGCATTTTCCGTGTTTGGTGTTGCCAGCGAAATAGGTATGGACATGGCTAAAGGTCCAGCTTCATTGCGAATGCACATGATCGATTCACTTTATGGGCTAGATCAAGCTACTGTGCTTCATCGCGTGAACATCAGCGCCATCTGATCGATTAATGGCAATCATGTAAATGGCGTGTCCTTCCCCCCCCCCCCCCCCCCCCCGAGTTTGTATATCTTATTATGCTGTTCTTTGTTAAGGCGACATAAGCTATATTTTTATGTTTGACGCTTGAAAGCGGATGAGAATGTTCATAACTTGGCGACCTTTGTTCAATGAAACAGGACACAGCGTCGAAATTTTGGTCCCTGCCATTTTGATGGGGGTGCAACGAGGATGATCCCCCATTATTGCACAAAACTATTGATACTGTGATCATAGTACGAGGGTTGTCGATTATCAGCCTCGACCTTCAAGAGGTTTAGGAGTTCTTACAGCTACTAGAATTCGAATTTCCCTAGTTCAAGGGCATAAAAGTGTCTGGAGATCCTCACATTACACTACTAGGATATGTTAACCTAGTGCATAAGTGTATTGACTTTTCTTGAAAGTGGCATAAGAAGTCGACTAATTGTCCATCATTCTTCTTCTCTCTGGACACGCTCACATATGCATTTCACAAAATGGACATATTTGTCAATAATACATTGGCCTGCAGATTGGAAGCTTGACCACCTCATCATCATCCATGGAAAAAGAATAGAATGTTTGGCTAAGCTTATAAGCACTTTTTCTTGGTTTATTTACTGCCAAGGTAAGAAGGTAAATTAGCAGCTTAAAAACTTAGCCAAACGTGTAATGGAGAGAACTAAATTGCATTGTACATCGCATAACAAAATCATGCTGAAGCAGACTTACATCCTCCATGGACACTTCAAGATCTTGTTCTGCCTCACAACGGGAGAAATCAGTTTCCACACTGCATTCATAGATTTACGTGTTAATCAGATTTAAACGTCGTTGTAATGTAAAATTAAAACTCAAAGCTCAAAATTGGAAGATCAGTCGTCCAGGTCACGAGAAACTAAATCATCGGTTTTAACATTTTGAATGAGATGGTTCAACAATGGCAGAGTCTTGAACTTACGGTATATGGTGGCTGCAAACCGCTCATTAACAATCTTCACCCACGTACTAGCCCTGCCAACGTCGATGCTCCATCTGATATAGAGAACAGGTTAATAAAGGAACTATCCAGGAAGTTTTAGAAGGGCTTGAAGAACATTTATAACGTACTTTCTTGTCGAGGTTTCTAAATTCCAACTGATGAATAACATCGCGAAATACATTGCCCCCAAGGAAAAGACGACATGAAAGAATCCATATTTTTATGGTGTGTCATCCTCTAACTGAACTTCATCTTTTCGAATCTGGAAATGTAACAAGAAAAGACTTCAGTGTCTTAGGCAATTAACATGATACATCTCCATCAAGCAAAATGATGATGATAAAAATTATCACTCTTTATTTTGCATTTAATTTTTTCTTTTAGCTTTGTTGGAAGAAGTTTAAATCACCTGAAATGTTTGCGAATCAATCCCTGTGGAAAATGTAGCGGTGACAATTGCACATACAGCAATGAGGAATCCCTGCAGGCAGAAGCAGAATCAAAGATAGCAAGGAACAGGGTACAGATGACTCCTTGAGAAAAGACACGAACCATTAAAAACACCTTCATAAGCAGGTAATTTTGATAACCACAAAA